GAGAGAGAGAGAGAAGAAACCACTAAGGCTTCTCTTCCAAGCATTCTTGTTAATAAGGCCAGCCACGTAGTCATGGGAACTCTGAATCCTCAGCTCTAAGACAAAGCTTTGCACATTTGTCTGTGTAAACCATCCATCCTTTCCAAGACTCACTACTTCCCACCTTTGAGAGACACTGTACGGATGGTATACCTCTTTGCCTATAGCCATTGCTAGAAGGACCCTTTTACCTCAAAGGAAGACCCCAGAGATCCTGAAATACAAATCCTAGAATCCTATAGGCAGGGCTTGAGAGCTACTGTCATTCATTCATTCATTCATTCATTCATTCATTCATTCATTTCCTCCTCCTGATTACATGCTAGCTATATGCTAGGTCCTAGGCAGGCATCTGAGGACGTGGAGCTTGCCATCCAGGACACCTAGGTCCACGGAGAGACAAGCATGCAAATAGTTAGTATGTAGGATCAGTGTCCACGGTCATGTGATATGAGCATGGACCAGGTGTTTGATGGTTCCTTTGGACTCTGTCACATCTGCTTCCAGTGCTGGCAGAGTCAGACCACCTTTTGCTCTAAATTCAGTGCTTCCATCTTGTTTGACCGTCACGCTCATTGTTTCCTGTGCCTCTGTCAGGTCTGTCATTGTCTCAGGTCTGCTGCTGATGGCCCCTGCCCATAGGGAGCACAGCCTGAAGGTCGAAGCAGGAGCCTCCCTCTGACAGGGTCATGAAATTGAGAGGCCTGCACACCTAGTGTTGCGTCCCATAGAGTTGTGCAGCCCAGCTCCCTCTGTCCCTCCACGCCACTGTCAGGACTGTCAGCCTTTCAGTGAACTATCTAGAATCAAATGGTGTTATGCCCACAGGCAGGAGAAATCTAACCTGATGTGGCCTTCAGTGCTCCAGCACCATCTACGTCCTTCTAGCTCCCTTCCCTTCCTCTGCCCTCTGCTTTAATCAAGTTGGGTAAACACGAATTATAGTTCCTGCCGCCCAGAATGTCCCACTGACTACCCTGTCCCTATAAACCCAATTCTTACCATTTCTGTAAAACCAACTCGTGCATACTCACTGTCAGAAAGTTTTTCCTCTCTGCTACTCAGATGTGCATTCTTTCTTCAATATGTCTCTTAGGACCTTACTTCTCTCTCACTGCCATAATATCCATGTGCACATAATATCCACGTACACATAATATCCATGTGCTTGCATGCTTTCTCTGCTAGCCTATTCTTTTGGATATTCTGTTCAGCAAGTGGTAGCAAGCCAAGTTCACAATGAATGTCTAATAAATATTTATCAGGTGAATGAATGAATAGTAAGTACTAGTCACAGCGGTTGCTGTGAGTACTTCTCTAGGTTTGTTTTTCTCTCCCATTTCCCAGTGGGCTCCTCTCAGCTTTCAACCTAGTCACCTTCGCAGACATATTTCCTGCTTCTCCCTCTCTGTGGTTCCCTTCCCTGCCACAGCCTCCACAGGTGGGAGAAGCAGGAGATTAGCTGGACCCTCGGTGACCTCTTCTCTCCCCTCTCTTCTCATACAGGCTCAGAGGAGGAGCTTGAGGAGCTGTGTGAACAGGCTGTGTGATGTGAGATGGTCAGATGAAGCTCCAACGGCGAGTTCCAGAGTGCTCCAGACGACTCAGGGTTCTCCCTGGCACAGGGTCCTGCTCCTGGGAGGAGCCAGGACCTTAGCAAGCATCTCTTTTTGCCAGTACCTCCTGGGACCACTGGAAGAAGAGTGGTGATGGTGGGTGATGGGAGGTGCTATTTCCTGCCCCCAGCTCCCAATCTTGTCTGCAGAACACACCTACAGTGCAGAAAGTCTTGTGTCCAGCTAGACAACCAGCCAGTATCCAGTATGCATTTGTGGGGTAGACTCCTAAAGGCTGAGTTTTTGACAGGAAGCTATGAGTGACTATCTAGATGTCCTAAAGGTGCTGCTCTTTCCTCAAGCCCTGCCGGGTTCCCGGCTGGGTCTCCTTTGCCCCAGGCTTCAAGCTCACACAAGCTGAGTGCATGACCATGACCACATCTCACCTCCTTTCACTGAGGCAACTTCAGGTTTATCATTTCCTGTCTTCACAAAAGAACAAGGAGTTTAGGTGAGCCTCAGTCCCAAGAGAGGTCTCTGTATCTTCTCCAGCCTGTACCTGACTGCTTGGTGCTCAGGGAGGTGTTGGGGACCCTGAACTACTATCCTAGTTAGAGGAGTAGTTCTTCCTTCCTGTTCTTAAACCAATCTTACCCTGCAGGCTTTAGGGAGCCAAGGAATAGAGTTCTGTCCCAGAGGTGGGGACTGTGAGAGACCTGGGATCCATCTTTTGATTATCAAACTCCTTGTCACTCCGGCAACTCCCAGTTCCTCTGAGGTTGAGAACAGGAGTGGAGAGAATTAGTGCTCCTTGAAGTTCTTCTGCCTCTAAGTCCAAGGCAGGCAGAAAGGAATGTCTACTAAACCTCATCTGGGAAGACGGGGGATGAGATGAAGGCAGAGGAAGCACAGCTAGAGCCGAGCAGGGACAGGAGTCTTCTCCGAGGGGTTTGTGGAGCACAGATGGAGAAGATAAAGTGTGACCTATAAGCCATACAAACCAGTGACCCGACTGAAAGGATGCAAGTGGAACTGGAGCAAAAAGTTGGTCTGGGCAGCTTGTACCAAGTGGGCAAGGGCTGATGGGCCTCCTGTGCCTCTTCGCCCCGGCATCCTAACCATTGTCAGCCCCTCAGGCAGCATCCTTGCCTGGAATGTGAATGTGGGGACAAGATGGACACGGGATCTTCCTTGGGAACCTTCCCGCCTCAGAGTCAATGGGGAGACTGGCATCCAGGCACCCACATGGTATTTATATCTGAACCAGACAGAAAGATGCTTGAATCAGGCACTATGTTGAAAAATGTATTTATTTGCTAATATATATTTATCCATAAATATGATCTGGCTTTGTGGTTTTGTTTATGATTTTTCACTCAGGATAACAATTCCATCATCTCTATTTTCTTTTGTTGGATTTTTGAGGCCCAGCCTAACCCCCAATTCACTGGACATCTGAGATCTAGCCTCAAAGCGATCCTCTTCCCACTCCCAGTTACTGGAATTATAAGCATTTACCATTATTCCCTCTGATTTCATATGCTACTGGTGATGTCAAAAGCTAGTCAGGATAGGGTAGTTTTAAATCCCCAGAAAGATCAGAGAGAACAGCATGCCTGGTTCTCATCATGATTCAGTAATTTATCTGTATTGGACTGTTGATGACTCTGATGCTGCAGTGACTTTGTGACCTTACAATATTGTAAGCAAATACTGATCCTTGGTATGTGTGCATACACGTGTATTCACATGAGTGTGAGGGTAGTCTAATGTGCATACACGTGTATTCACATGAGTGTGACGGTAGTCTAATCTATATAGCAAGTTCCAGGGCAGCCAGAGCTACAAAATAAAGACTTTGAAAACAAACAAACAACAAAAAGGGTCTCTCACTTGAACTTGCCTGGAGTTCCAGGGATCTGCCTATCTCAGGCCCCAGTACTATGATTATAGTAGCATACCATCATGCCCAGCTTTTATGTGGTGGGTCCTGAGCCAGCTCCTCAGCAGGGTGCCTGCCTTTTTCCATAAATAAAATGATCCTCCTTCAGAGTTGATACAAGACTTACATGAGATAGCACACTGAAAATATATTCCAAACGGAAAAGAGTGCTAGAGAGTATCTAAAGCCCAGTCACTGACCCCATTTGAACGCACCTTGAGACAAAGCCAAGAATCAGTCTAGCTGTAGTTCAGTTTCAATTAGAAGGGCTGAAGGCAAACAGCAGAGACTGCAACTATTTCTATCCCAGCGCTCCAATTCAGATAAACACAAATGACCAGGCTTTTGCCTACACTCCAAGAGAAATGGTGCTTTTCTCTGTATCCATTCCTGTGGGGGAGTCGGGAAGAGCCTTTGCTCTGTTCACACTGCACCAGACCTCGTACTTCTGTCTGGTTTGCTCAGGATAGTGTCTGGGTGCCACTTCAGAAGACAAGGAATTTTGCGTCCTAAACAGTACATTGGCTAGCTGGGGTGGAGGAAAGAGTATGAGACGTGAGATATCTACAGATGTTCTCAAGGAATTATGTCTAAATGTGCCAAGAGTTTACAAAGCGTACGTAAATTATGAGCCAGGCGCGCAATCGAGAGGCTTTTAGGAAGAATTAAATAAGCATTTCCCCCAACCCAACACCGCCCCCCCACCCCCCCCCCCTCGGCGCGGCCCCCGCAAGCAATCCAGTGGACCGCAAACGAAACCCTATCACGCTCTCGCAGTTACAAGAAGGGGTGGGGCCTCGTTGGTTGTTTTTTTTTTTTTTGTCTCTGTAGACAACCAGAAAGGCAAGACTCATTGCCTCAAGCTTTAAAACGACCTAGGGTGAAGCGGCGGGCTTGTATTCTGAGCATTCCGGGGACTGAGATGAGGGCCGGGAGAACCAAGCCGGCCTTGTGTCAAAAAAGTCAAATACCCAAGCGTGGTGGTGCGCGCCCATAATCCCAGCACCCGGAAAGTGAAGGCAGGAAGATCAGAAGTTCAAGGTCACCGTCCGGTACTTAGATAGTAGGAGCACCATAGGAATTACCATTTACTGTCTCAATAAATAAGCAAACAAATTAAAACAAGCAGACAAAACAATCTAGGTTCTGCTGGAGAATCTGGAGAGAACCCGGGCCTGCAGCCAGACGGCGACATCAAAAGGCCCGCGTAGTGGTGCGCAGTTCCGCAAGTCGCTCCGCGCCACGCTTCCTGCGCATGCACCCACCGCACTCTGCTACTCCGCCCCTTCGGGCCCAACTACCCCTGCGCTCCGTCTTCCGCTCGCTCTCGCGAGTCCAGGTGACTAGGGCGCGCGCGGCTCAGGTGGCTGTCGGGTGCCCCGCCCAGCGCTCCTGCGGGAGAAACCATCTTCTCCAAGGGGGGAGGGGTGGGGCCTGCGAGTGCCTGCACCGGAAACGGAAGTTACATAAAGGAAGCGGCTGGCATTCTGGGTAATGGTCTGTTTACTTCCTGTGGCGGTGGAGCCTGTATTGTCATATCGGTGAGGATGGCCCTGGAGACGGTGCCGAAGGACCTGCGGCATCTGCGGGCTTGTTTGCTGTGCTCCTTAGTCAAGGTATCTGTCGGGGCCTTGTTTGTAGGAGCAATTGGGGAGGCAAAATTGGAGAAAGAGAGTGAAATGGATTCAGACACAGGAAAGAAAAGGACTGAGAGTCAGTGAATGGGAAGCCTAAGGAAGCCGTTGTTAACGTCCAGGGAGCGTGAGCTGGGCGTCTGTGCCTGCTGAGGGCTGTGTTTCAGCTCTCAGCTTAACCTAGCACAGGTTTGTCGCCCCAACAGACGTTCGGTAAACATGCTGTGTTGGACTGAGAAGACGCTTGGTGCCAAAGCAGCAGAGAGAGTAGCCGGAGAGGGTACCTGACCCCAAAGAGACTAGAGAAAATGTATAAGCCGAGTTAGGAACGAGAGCAAAAAGGTGTGAAGGTGGAGTTTAGGAATAGTTTGGAGAGCAGTAGGTGTTGGGTTATATAGGGAAGGAAGGGATTGACTTTGTCGAAATACTAATACGTTGTTTTACTCATACTCACTTTTTTTTTCCTTTTCAGACCATAGACCAGTTTGAATATGATGGGTGTGACAATTGCGATGCATACCTACAAATGAAAGGCAACAGAGAGATGGTTTATGACTGCACCAGCTCTTCATTTGATGGGTAAGCCCCTGTCGTGCTCCTTTATTTACTTCTGCACCATCTTGGCTGTGACCCAAGAAATTAATATGGGTCAGATTTTTGACGACGTAAGACTAGCTGGTCTCGGCAGTTCTTCGGAGAGCTACTAATTCTTAGTGTCCAGCCCAGAAGCTGTGAACTTCTGTAACTGAGTAATTGACATGGTGGCTAGTTCACATTAGAATATGCTTAAGTGTCTAATACATACCAGCAAACAAAGACTCAGCATGAAGAAAAAGAATGTCAAATAATAAGAATTTTTTAAAGATTCGTTAAATGTTGAAATAGTGTTTTAGGGTTATTTGGTTAATAAATATTGAAGTTATTTTCATCTTTACTGTTTTAAACAGTGGCTAGGAGGACATTTTAAATGGTGTGTACTTTTTCTGTAGTCCTATTTAGTAACGCTTCACAACTCTTGTCTGCTCAATTATAGTGATTGTGTTTATGTTGTATACTAGTGCTTGACATGGGATGTCCAAAGTGGTAGATCCTAAATGCTGAAGAGTTGGAAGTATAACACAGCAGTAGAGCATGTGACTACCATGTGCAAGGCCCTGGGTTTGATTCCTAATGCTCTCCAAAAGTGTTGGCTACGTGAAAGATCTGTTTGGAAAATGAAGGGCTACAGGTACAGTAATCTACTCCCTCCTATAGTATCTTAGTGATACAGTGGCTTGCACCTATAATCCTATCATCTAAGAGGGAGACACCAGAGAACTTGGGGTTCAGAGCAAGCCTCAGATACACAGTTTGAGCTACAGGAGACCCTGTCTCAAATGAGACCAGCTAGATATCTCAGCAGGTTAAGATACCTGATGGCAGGGCAGATAACCTTAACCTCAATCCCTGGATCCCACAAGGTGGCAGGAGAGAACTAAGTTCCTAGAATTGTTTTCTGACCTCAGCACATTCACCCTGGCATGCATATGTGAGAGACAGGGCACACACACATGTGTGCACACATGCCCCTCAAGTTAACTAGAAAAATTAAACAGTGAGAGAAGCAAGAGTGGTCTGGTTTTTTTCCCCAAGGCGGCAGCATTGCTAAGTTTCTTCTGGACTGCAGGCCAGCTAAAGATCCTCACATAAGCTGGGCTTAAGCCTAGTGTTTGTTAAAGTTCTATGAAGGTGTGGCTGATGTCATTTTGGGGAGAATAAAAGATTGGGCAAAGAGATACTGATTTGGAACCTTCAGTTCCTGTGTGTGCAAATGCACATTCCTGTCTTCTTGTCCCTTTGTTTTTTCACTAGCCATTCAAGGTTGATGATTAAAGACGAAGCTGTGTTGATACAGCCTTTAGACCTAGCTCTCAAGCTGAGGCAGGGGGACACAAGTGTTAGGTAGCTCTCGGCTGCATCTCGAGGACCTCATCTAAAAATACAAAATGTAAAATGGACTCACTCCCATCTGTAAGGGAACACCTGTTTGAGAGATGCTAAGAGGTACACAGTAAGATAAAAGCAAAAAGTCACTTTGAATCCTTACCAATTTAACCTATTTAAAAATTATTTTAAAGATGTGCTTTGTTTTTAAAGTTATGTATGTGTATGGCTATGTGCACATGAATACAAGTGCCCAAGAAGGCCAGAGTCCTCAGATCCCCTTGGAGCTAGAGTTACAGGCAGTGAGACCTGCCCTGTGTGAGTGCAGGGAACTACACTTGGGTCCTCTTGAAGAACAGTTTGTACTGTTAATCACCGAGCTGCCTCTTCAGTTTCTAAAAGTTTCTTTCTTTTTAAAGTTTGAGATAGATAGATAGATAGATTTTTTTTAAAAAAATTATCTGTTGATGCCATAACTTACTGTCTGGCCATTGTGAAGAATACACTTATGTAGGTTAACTACACATACCTGCTTAAATCCCTGATTCAGAGCTTTTGGGTACATATCTGTTCATAGAATTGCTGTATCATAATGTAGCAACTAGTTGTTTCAGGAACCTAAAAGCAGTACTTTAAGGTTCCAGTTTCTCCCCTCTTTCCTAGCTCCTCTTGCTTTCTGGGTTTTTGTTTTTTTGTTGTTTGTTTGGGTTTTATATTAATTTATTTATGTATTTTGTGGATTTTTTTTTTGTTGTTTTGAGACAGGGTTTCTCTGTCTCCTGGCTGGCCTTGAACTCACAGAGATCCACCTGCCTCTGTCTCCAGAGCCTTGGGATTATGGATGTGTATTACTCCTGGCTTTCTTGTTTGTTGTTTTTGTAGCGCCATCCTGCTGAGTGTAGATTATATCTTTTAATTGTTACCATTGTAGAACAACCCTCTTTTTAAATTTATTTTGGAAACTGGGTTATTTTTAAGTTGTCCAAATAGACCTTGGACTGAAATCTTCTGCTTTAGCCTCCAGAGTAGCTGGAATTGTAAGCTACCTGATCAGGCCTGACTAGAATTGTAGGATTTCAGAGGAGGTTGAGATGCGGTAGAAAGGGCATTTCAAATATTATTATTGAGAAGGTCGATTGTGAAGGGCAGAGGAAGTACTGGAGCTGGGGGGGAAAGCCTGTGTAACTGCCTGCCCAGGATCAGTCTGAAGAGCTACTTGCTGTCTCACCCTTCTTCCTCTCTTGGACGTCAGCATTGTTGCCATGAAAATGGGGGTGGCCATGGAGAGGCAGTCAGCAGTGTCAGTTCCTAAAAAACTATTTGATTGGATGATTATCAGATAACCTCCATAGCTCCTTATAGCACCTGCCTCCTCACATAGTGGCTTTCTAGCCCTTGAGTAGGCTTTCTGCTCCTTAGCCTATGGAAGCAGAGCTATCTGCCAAAGGACTGATGGAATGGAAAGGGACCCTTGGCATCTACTCTGTCAGTATCTGTACTAGGTACTTTGCATGCACTATCTCAACCTGAGTCTCACTGGTGAAAATCTGTGAAATGTCTCCAACTGTACTTGAGACTGCACAGCTCATTGAAGGAAGGGATTCCTTCCAGGAAGCGGATCCATTGTTTGGATTCCTTTGCACCAGGTTCCAGATGCCTAGTAATTGGACTGGTTGTCGTCAGTGCTGGATATCCACAGGTAAAGCACGTCTAACTGGTGGTCTATGGACATAGACTGAAAGGCCTTTGTCACTCCCTTCCTAAGTCAGCTCCTTTCCAGGGTTAGAACTGCGTCCCAGCTTTCCCATGGTGACTTTCTCCTCAGGTGCCTCTCCTGGAGCTGTTGCTTTGCTCAGTAGCCCCCTCTAGCAGGGCAGGCTCAGGCTGACTCTTCATCTTCCCTCTCTAGAATCATTGCGATGATGAGTCCAGAGGACAGCTGGGTCTCCAAGTGGCAGCGTGTCAGTAAGTGTCTTTCTTATCCTGGCTCATGCAGTGTTGAGAATGTGCCTAAGGGTCTGCAAGGATGTCTTAAATCAGCAGGGTGCATGGTGCCATGTGGGAAAGATGGGGGTAGAGAAAAGCCAAGTCTTGGGACTGGCAAAATGGCTCAGCAGCGCCAGACTAGCCAACTTGAGTCTGCTCTTGGGGACCCACATGTTGGAAGGAGAGAGCTGACTGCAGACTGTCTTCTCACCTCCACATGTGCACCGTGGAGTGTTCTAGACCACTCACGTGCACCCTGCCTCTCTTCTGACTTAATTCTTCATTGGTTTTCAGTCTTAACTCATTCCTGTTTTAATCTCCTCTCTTCCTCAGGTAACTTCAAGCCAGGTGTATATGCTGTGTCAGTCACTGGTCGCTTGCCCCAAGGTAATAGTTGTAACAGCAGCAGTGGGCATCTGCCAGGCCCAGCAGAAGCCTGTGTCCCAGTAGCTCTTTGCCTGGATCGTAGGTGATAGGCAACTCCAGTGCCAGGGGTGGGGCGGGGCCATCTTCATCCTCGTGACTCTCTCATGGGACTGTTTCTTTTTCTGTCATAGGAATTGTGCGGGAACTGAAAAGTCGAGGAGTGGCCTACAAATCCAGAGACACAGCAATAAAGACCTAGCTAGGTGCAGGCCATAGCATCTTGTTCTCTACTCCTATACTTGTTTTCTTGTGGAACTAAACAGGTGGGACCCCAAAGACTCCCCTGCCCTCCGTCTCAGGATCAGCAGACTCTGTGGAAGCAGCGCATCCGGCCTTAAGTCATCTCACTGTCTGACCACTGGTGAAGTGTCTGGGTGGATTCTCAGAGGCTGGATCAGGAGAGTCAGATGCTGATTTCCCACCTCCGTTCAGAGTTTTGCCTTTGTCCATGGGCAGGACTTTGGTGTAATAACAATAAAATGAACCTTTGGAACATACTTAAAAGGGTACTAAGGCCCGTGCCTTGTGTGCCTTTTTCTCTTACAGTGAGGCCTCACTTGCCTGGTGAGCTCTGAGGCAGCTCAGCTGACGTCCTCTCTCTGGCCTGCCTTTGAGGAGTACGGCTGCTCTGCTGTGCTTGCTGTTGTATCATGGGAAGACCTGCTGTCCTGTGCTGACTGGAAGTCAGTTCTGTCCTGTAAACCTGGTGCGCACCCTCTTTTGGAGGAATCCAAGGCTCTGCCTTCACCCTTGACACTCTTTAACTTCTCTTTCTTCCTTTGTGTCTTCTCTTTGCTCTTGCTGTACCTTTGTCAGTCTCAGTTCACATTCCCCTTGGTACCCTTAGTGGCTGCTGGGTCTTGATCTGGGTTTTTGTGCTTCCATGGAAACAGGCCCTCCTCTGGCTAAGAAGGGAGCCGGGGTAATGTCACATTGGCCAATGTCGTTTTTATAATAAAACATTTACCAGATAGTCTCACTTAAATCATAGAAATTGTATCCCCAGTTTGGTTTCTCTTTAGTTTCCATCTGTAAAGTAGGAGTGATTACTCCTGTTTACCCTGTCTCTGTATTTCGGGGTTGAAAGGACTAGAAATGAAGAATATATTCTGCTATTCTTCAGTACTTACACCGTCTTCACAATTAGTCAACATTGGGGGTGATGCCCAGAACCTTCCTGCTGGGGGAGCGCCACCTTGCTAGTGGAGGTTCCTGCACTGGGCTCTGTCTCAGATAGTTGTCACCTGTAGAAAGGATGAGAAGGAAGATCTGCTGACCCCAGTGGCTATCTCTTGACCCTGTGCTTGTCGTCCCAGCCCGTGGAACACAAGCTGGTAGTGACTAGGCTACTCACATCCACTCAACAGCTCCCCACCAGGAGTGTGTTCACTTGCACCATCAAGCTCTGAGGGAACAGATCATCACTCTCCATCCCAAGCCGAGCTGTTGAAGGAGTTCTCTAGCCCAGCCATCTAAAATTAAAACACCATCACTGGCAAGTTCTTCAGTGAGTTTCATTTGGAAGGGGCCTTGGCTAGCCAGAGTAACTCTGTCAGGCTGGAACTTACCTCCTGGAGGGAACAAACGTTTCCCCAAGAGGGACTAGACTGTGGAACCAACACCTCAGCTTTCACTGGCTTGCTCAGAAGTCCCCTGGAAAGCCCCAGCCGCTGTTCTGTGTACATGACCCGGATGCGACTGTGTGCTGAGAATGGAAACAGTTGTGGGGAGGGGAGACAAGAAGAACCTGCACGAATAACCACACTGGGGCTGCTTGAGTCCCACACCTCCTGGGCCCCAACTGTCAATCTCACAGGAAGTGAAAGGCGACCGCTGTTCGCCATGAGGGGCATGGGTCTTGTTGCAGCTTCCCCCACCTGGGAGCTGCTTTCCATCCCTCTCATCTTGTACTGGAACCCAGATTAGCATCCTGCCCAGCAGCCCAGACAGGCAAGAATGTGCTAGAGTCCCACCATTCCTTTGAGCCAAAAGACGCTTAAGACAGGTTCTGAGCTCGCAGGGTAGGCTGTCCTGTGGCACAGAGGCCTTTCAAATTCCAGGACTGCTATCTGCATTCTACCTCCTTAAGTGTTAAGTGCTTGCTGAAGTTTAGACCCACCCTAGCTTAGGAGGTTTGAGTGGGCCCCGGTCTTAAGCCATTACCTCCAACTCCTTCAGTGCTGGGGGTTAAACCTCAAGCCTCATACATGCTAGGCAAGCATTCTACCACTGAGCTATCCCCAGCCCTTACACTTTTGGGGTCACACCTCACTAATTTTCTACACTGGCTAGAAAGTCACTCTAATGCAGGCTGGCTTTGAACTTGGGATCCCCCTGCCTCCCAAGTAACTGTGAAGGCAGGCATGCACTACGAGGCCTGGATCCTCTTGGTGTCTTGTTCAGTGGTTTGACCCCTGTCCCTCGAAGGGGACAAGGCTCCTCCCCTTCAATCTGGTAGATTCAGCGCAGACAAAACTAGAAACAGCACCCACCGAGCTGCTTTAAGACTGCTGCCTCGGGCTGGAGGGATGGTTTAGCAGTTAAGAGCACTGACTGCTCTTCCAGAGGTCCTGAGTTCACTTCCCAGCAACCACATGGTGGCCCACAACCATCTGTAATGGGATCTGATGCACTCTTCTGGTGTGTCTGAAGACAGCTACAGTGTACTCATATACATCACATAAATAAATATAAAAGATAAATTTAAAAAAAAAAAGACTGCTGCCTCATCATCATGTTCTGCCTCTGGTATTGATTGGTCTCCTCAAAGCTGATGGGGACAGTGGCAGCACAGTGGTGACCGGAAGCTGGTAGAGCAAGAATCACTATGTCTCAGCAGAGAGCAGTTTCCCTAAGAATAAGGGTGACAGGATGGTTTGCCAGGTTAGGGCCAGACCCAGCTCTTCAGGTAGCCACCATGTTACCCTCAGTCTGTCTACAGCCAGCTGCTCGGTCTCCAGGCCTGGCACCTGTCAGACGACTGATCTCTGAGTATATCAGAGGCAGGTAGGCAGGTAGACAGACTTGACTGGTAATCTAGCTCCCACTTAGTATCCATAAAGACTTTCATGTAAATAGTATTTGATAGTTGACGAATGTCTTTGACATCCATGATCTCATCTTTACGAAACTCCTGGAACATAGTCCTTGTTTAGCAACAAAGAGACAAGCTGTGAGGGTTAAAGTGGCTTAGCCATGATTAAGTAGTGGAGCCTTAGCTCATACAAAGTCCACAGTTGAACACTGATGTTTCTCATCTGGTTACTGGTGTGAGGATTAGGCAGAACTGTGAGGCAGTAGCTTTTCGTTTGAAGTCATAACACCTCGTCCCTCCACCCCAGACCCTGCTAACCTCCCTACTTAACGCCTCTAGTCCCCGATCTCTAAGCCACAAGACAGTGGAGTACTGGGCCAGAGAGGGGGTCAAAGGGAAATGGGGCCAGCCCTTCAGTTCTCTTCAGCAGCATCTTCCATTCATCTCCAAGTCCTAGGCACCTGCCAACATGTGTCCACATCCCTATCCTCTTCTGCATTGTCTTCCCTGCCCTCCCCCACCTGAGCCTGATTGTGGCTTCCACCACAACCTGATGGGACACAGACCCTGTGTGTGATGAAAACGTTCCTACTGAGGGCAAGAACCCTGTGACCCAGACCTGCAGCCTCTGCCAACCCTGACCCAATGACTTTTAAATCATGGCGTCTACACATTTCCTTTCTTCTTTTCCTTTCCCTTCTCTTGTTTTCTTTTTCCTTCTTCTTGCCTTTTTTCTCTCTTCCTTCCTTCCTTCCTTCCTTCCTTCCTTCCTTCCTTCCTTCCTTCCTTCCT